TATATTGTATATATTATGTATATATATATACAATGTATATATATTATGTGTGTGTATATATATATATATATATATATATACAATGTATATATAATTATGTGTGTGCGTATAATTTTTAGATTGTATATATATATATTTAGATGTATATATATATTGTATATACATTATATATACAATATTATATATTATGTATATATATTATATATATTATATATATTGTATATATATTTTTTAGATTATTTTTTTGTATATATATATAGATTGTATATATATTTTTTTAGATTGTGTATATATGTGTGTGTGTGTATGTGTGTGTGTGTATTAATAATTTATTTCAGTATGATACTTTTTGAAACATTCTGGAATATGTAAAGCTACCAAACAAAGTTCACATTCCCAAGTAGTTCCACTCCGCTTTTTGTTAATTAATACTAGACTGTATGATCGAATTATACTAAAAATATAAGAAAAATCACAATCACTTTCTTTTAAAAATCGAGTGAATATAGATCTTTGCCAAACGTGATACAAAGGATTATTCGAAAGAGTCACTTGAGGTAATCTTTTCTTCGCCTCAGTCAACTTGCAGTCATTTCGTAAAACTGTTCCATGTTGCTGTTGCTGCTGCTGCTGCTCAAAGCTTAATTATATCACTATGGTATTACATTCATCGCCAGCAACTGTGTATTTGCGCTGTTAAAAATATACTATAGAGTATCGAAGGATTTCCATTTCACTCCGACCGGGAGAGCCTTCTTTTATAACTGAAATATATTAATGTTATCTCATCAAAAAAAAGGCATTAATATTAGAACTTGTACTTGTAGAACGTTGCTTGAAATGGAGCATGAAACGCATCATAAAATATATATCAACAACCGCTGGATAAACTTTAGAAAATCCATACGTTTGTTTTTTGGAAACCCTACTTTTATAACTGAAATATATATATATATGTAATATATTAATATATTAATGAAGAAATTATTTTATATTTGCTTTAGTTAGGGAAAGATAATTTAGATTAAACCACTGTATAACAACAGGGAAAGATGCAGTATCAAGGGAGACGAGATATTTCATAAAAATATCCATTTTATTTTTTTCAACTTCATTTTTTACGTGTCCCTTTTATTACATACAATAAAATACTAATTATAACAGACATAACGATAATCATACAGATAATTATACAGATAATAGTAATAATAACCACTATACTTTGTAATGGGACACATTAAACGTTTTAAAACATATGATCTTTCTTTCTTTTTTTTTTCTTTTTTTTTTTTGATACGATAATTATTTCTATATAAAAGGTTATTAAGTGCTTTACAAAAAATGGATTATAATACACCGAACTTGGTGCATCGATTATCACAAGATTGCTAAAGCGCCGAAGCGCGACTCCTTCGAATCGACGAAAACTAAGTTTGTCATGGGAAACACAAATGGAAATGTTTCTCCGTTTCGCTAAATGCCTAAGAAAAATCAACTACAGCAAGATGCATATCAAAACACGAATTTACTCTCATTGAGCTTGCATTCAAGTATGATTCTAAACGTATAATCACATCATATTGCGTATCCAAAACATTAAACATTTAAAACCGTCTAGATTAACTCTGACCAATATCTATTAGCAATTCTCTATTAATAATTATAAATTACGTTGAATTTCAAAGTCGGATCCGAAGTTAGGTTTTGGGAAGCAGATAATATTATATTCGCGTAAGAAAATCTATTGCCAATCAAATGAATCAAAAAAAAAAAAAAAAA